GTGTGAATGAGTACACACAGCCCTGCTGTGAGATCACGGTGTGAATGGGTACACATAGCCCTGCTATGAGAACAAGGTGTGAATGAGTACACACAGCCCTGCTGTGAGATTATATAAAGCCTTAGTGTGCAGATGGCAGGACAGCTGAAGAAAAACTTGCTTAAAGAATTCTGCCATTTACAGAGAAAGCCCATCAGTTAAAAGTCACCAGTTCAACAAATCAGGAAGTAAATTCTAGTTGACTGGATCTTAACTAGGACGAACATTCTAAATGTTCATTTTATAATTTAAAGAATTCAGATGATCACCAGAAGCCTATGCAGCTCCTATGCTGACAGCACACGTTAGAACGTGGGTCCAGTGACTCACTGAGAGAAGCAGAAGGTAATAACAACTTTGGTATTCTGAAAAAAGGGCACATTTCTGGGAAAACAGAAACAAAACTAGGAAGTTTGTTCCAATCAGTGTGGGCCAAGGATTCTCTAAGGAAGTCACATGGAAACTGAGGTGGGAACTACAGATAGGAATTAGCAAGAAACCAAACCTGTGAAGAGAAGTCCTTAATGGAGAGGAAGGAGCACATACAAAGGCCCTGCGGCTGGAGAGGCACACTGCCTTCCAAGAACTGAAGAGACAGTGGAGCTTGCAGAGGATAGAAGCAAAGCGTGTGGCGGCCATGCCCCATGATAGAGGGTGCAACAGAGGTGCCTGAACCGTGGAGGGCCTGTGGTCCATGGTACAATGTATGACCTTTATCCAAATAGCAAGGAAAAATTATGGCAAGGTCTGCAAAGGGGAAATGACATGATTTTATTTGCCTGTAAAATAATCTTATCTCTGTTCATACATTATAGAAAATGCATTAAAGCAAGGAGAATGGAGGCCTGGAAACCAGTTTGGAAGCCATTATGCAAACCCTAAGCAAAAGATCATGAGCTTCTAACTAGAGCTCATAGAGGAGATGGGGGATGGGCAGGCTTGCCTGTAAGAGGTCAAAAACAAGGCAAGAAAATTTGGTGATAGAATATTCCTGTGTTGGTGGCTTGTTTTGCTATTTTAATTCAGGACAGCACTTCATAAATGAAGATAACCAATGCCCAAAGTCCCATGTATCCCTGAACCACACACTTTAAGTATTACTAGAGACTTAGATGGTGTGGCTGCTGCTCTGGTCATTTGGGCGATGGATATTCAGGAGAATTTCTCCATTAGAGGAATCATTTTAAATATTCTAGCATCAGGCTGAGGGCTCACAGGATTGACTGAGGTAGTTATCAACCTATCAACCAAGAAGCTACTAAGTTTTTATGATTTAGAATGAAATGTGAGCATTGACAAAGACCTTCTCACATTATTTTCAACAGTATTTGAACTCCACCCCCAACCTCAGTGACTGCCCAAAATTACATCATAGATGCCAAATATTTCTAATTAAAAAAATGTAGCAACTAAGAGCTATCAGTGACTTTTTACACATGAATGTGAAGGAAATCAATGAGTAATAGAAAAGTTATTCATCAAAATCGCACTTAATTTCTTTGTTTCCTTTCTCTTCATTGTTTTCCTCCAGCCACATTCATTTTTGACATGACTATTTTCATGCTATTTCCATAACTCAAATTACTTTGACTATTTATGTCTGAGTAATTAATTTCTTTACTGTGTTCATTCACTGCCTTTCTCCATGCCTTCTACTTTCAGAGTCTCCATTTGTGTTAGATTTTTCTGCTGAACACTTGGGAAATGGTGCATTCTTCTATCCTGTTACTAACTCCCCTGGTCCCTCTTCTCTTCAGAGGAACAAATGTCTCAGGCAGAACAAAACCCGGGCTCCAGGGAAGCACCAAGGTCAGTCTCTGACTGAGACACTCCTCGACCTTGGTCACACCCCAGGAGGAAGCGAGGAGTTTCTAGCTCATCCTCGTGGCTGTCATCAGCAAAGAGGCATGTGCTTGGCAGTACAGGAGCAAGACAGGGGATGGACAAAAGATAAACAGAGAAAATAGGAAAGTCTACTGGGATTTGGTATTCCAGGTATTCTAATATCCTATGTTAGTTTGAAATATGAGTTTCTAAGTGTATGCCTATAAATGCATAGAATTTTTTTGAGATTTTGCTTTTTGTTTTACCTAAAGAGTTATTATTCTACTGATACCTTTTCAAGCTCTTTATATCCAGTTATATTTATCAACAGTACTTTCTAGGTTTAAAATTCACAAGTAAGCATCTATTTAAAAAAAATTACAGTGGAATAGTAGTCAACTCCAAAGAGGATGAAGCCCAGGATTTTACAGTAATGTAGATGGAACTGGACAATAATGGAGATGAGGAATGCATACTAATCCCACTCTTCCTAAGAATCACCCAAGTTCATCTCATAGAGCTGGAGAGAATGGCAGTGGTCCCATGAGACCGGGACGGGAAAGATTAGTCAGTGAGAAAGCGGCAGTTTGAGCAAGTGCTTCTGGTGGAGCGACTGTAATAGCTAGGAATGTGTTGCATGCTTTAGAGGGCTAAGAGAAAGGATTTTAAATATTCCACCACATTATAGCGATAGAGATGTTGATTCAACAAATATATATATATATATAATGTAAACATCCCAGGGTTTATAAATATGTGTAGTTTGTATATAAATTAAAAATTATTATTGTTTGTCTACCATGGTTCTTGGAACGTGTGAACTTTTTAACTGTTGTAAGAGCTATTCTGACAATGAATGGAAACTCCCAGCAAACACCTTTGCAACGGCATCATGTATCTCTCTTGTGACTTCTGGTCACGGAAGCTCCTTCAGTCTGTCATTGTGTCATCTCTCTCACCCCCGTCTTAGACACTTTCCTCTTGGGGGGCATATGTATAAGGTACATTTTATTTCATATATACATATAATAGTACATCTGTTAGTCTGTAAAATGCTTTTGGAATGGTATCTCTTAAAACCTAGTCTAGCACCCTATACATAGAGGCTGTTCAATGTCGCAGAGGTGTGTCTGTGATAATTTAGAGGGATACTTCAAAGAGCAGGGAGGGCATTCTCATGTAATTTTTATTCTAACTTTAATAGCCAAGTCTTTGTGGTTGCTATAAACTGCATTATGTCATGATTAAATAATGATCTAACTTCCTATGGTAAATTCTTAAAATTGCTGTCTTAATGCTTGGCTGTATTGTTCTCATATTAGCAAAGTGTATTCTGGGACACATTTGCCATTTCTTGTTTAAGAACAATCAAAGATCCAATATATCTTGAACTTCAATTTTCCCCACACTTTGAATATAGAACACACCACTTCAGTGAAATCGGCATACTAATCTTTCACAAATTACACAGGAACAGTTATTGAGATAGAACAATTTATTCTGAAAAAAATTCAGACTCAAATCCTGTGACTATCAGTGGTGGAGTGCTTCACGGTCTTTGTCAGTGGAATGATGTAGAATGAGAGAATGGAGGACAGTGCTGCTCCTCTACACACAGCAGCACAAGAAGGTTCTCTTTGCCTACTAGCTCAGAAATGATTTAATTTAGGCTTTTGGAACAGAAACTTAGTTCTACAACCACACATATTTTCATCTGTTTATAAAACCTTGCTAAATATTTTACATAATTTAAAATGAACAAAGGGTGAGATGAGTTTTAAAAGCCTTAATAAATATGTCCTAACAATCAAGTAGGAAGTGGAATACTTAAGGTAAGGAAGAACTGGAAATACAGGATGCTTAGTATCATAGAGACCTAAGACTTCTAAACCAGCTGTTTCGTAAATTCAGTAGACACCATTACATGCTGACAATGCATTCCTTGAATAATGTGTTTTCTTCCTGTGTGGATTGCCACTTCTGGAAATCAGTCAATTCAAAGAATAAGTTGGATAGCCTATCATCCCACTTACTAAAACTTCGACAACACATAGCATCTAATTACAGCAATTTGAGATGCATGGAAAGATGACGAGCAACTGTATTTTGTCATTGCCAATATTAAAATCAGCATGAGTACTTGACTGAGTGTATTCTTAGAATTTGCAGATGAGAACAAAGATGTGTACATCTATTTCTGAGTCCCCAGCATTGTGTGTATAAGAAGTCAAAGCCTCCATGGGCAGCACAAGGTGGCTGCATGGCACACCTATTATTTCTGTTTTGATTGCATGTCCTGTTTTGAACCTGCAAACGTATGTAATACATACATGTGTGTCCTATTTGACAGTATGTTTGAGTTCTTTCTGGCTCTTTTTCTAGCAGAGTTCAATCCACAGCTTTCTTCATTGGAGAATTTGTGACATAAAAGTGAGTTCATTTGTGTTACATACTCTCTTAGATAACATAAACAGACCTACACATTGCTTGTCTAAGGGCTGAAAATTAGAAAATCCCCAGAAACATATGAATTAATACTAGATGGCCTTTGATGAGTTAATAACAAACAGTTTTTACACTTAAGTTTAATTTTGATGTCTTATAATTTTATACAATATTTAAAGACATGTTTATTTATGAATTGTTGACTGTATATGTTCTGTAAGATGTTGTACTATTTGTGCTTTTTGTATGCATATTAGCAGAATAATATGCTAAAATTCTAACAAAAGGAAGAAAAATGAAATTTTAAATCTTTTTAAAGCAGTTGCTTTTACAATTCTATCATTGGCCACATTTTTTTATGTCACTTATTCCTTACTTTAGTTTCAAGTAAGACTGAGTTGCTAATGAAAAACCAAGATGGTGCTCTAGCAATAAGCACTGACACCTTGCAAACCTAACTCATATGTTTCTCTGCTGAAGTACATCATAGAATGAAATTTAAGTCTTACATTTCTAGCATTTACTTTGTCTTTTATCCTTAACATTCCCCCAAATAACCTTTCTTCTTTAATAGATCTCATAGTAGGAAAGATGGCAATAGTAATAATCCATCTCTTAATTTCATTTGTTTTTATTTTGACTTTTCTACTGAATAGTATAATTGAACCTTTCTTAACCCAAGTACGCCAAAAAGAAGAAAAAAAAACTTTTGTGCGTGACATTTAATCAGTTGATAAGCTAGTAGGTTTGGCTAATAAGGCAGAACTTTTGTTATAAAATCTGGGGCCATTTTGACAGTCACTTGGTGTAGAGCAGAACTTTTGATACTGATTTGGGAGCAAGAACTGTAGCTGCCAAATCATGCTGTTTCTCTCATATCAGCTTCCTTGTTTGAAAAATACCACCAAAATTTGAGAGACATAAAAAAGCCAGAACTGTATTTTGTTTTGTTTTCTGTCTCAGAAGTTACTGTGTGCACTGTTTCTGCTGCTCTCTCCAGAAGCATATGTCCCTAAATGTTGTCAAGTTTTTCCATGAGAGTCCACACTTCTTACTACCTTCACAGCCTAATACTTCTTATGGAACTAATTTTATAAGATCCTTAGACGCTTAATGGTACTAATAAATAACCACTAGTTAAGGTATTTTAATCTTTATTTTTTTATTCTAAATGTTTTCATTTGTTTTGACTCAAAATTGCCAGGATCAAATGCCTGAGATTCTGTTTTCTGACAAAGTCAAACCTTTATCATGGGACTCTTGCTTGGGGATCTCTTGTAGATATGACTAACCACTGAAGAATTTGTTTGCACATGACCTTTGGTGATATGGAGGAGGTGATTATGTTATTTTTATTGGTCAGTGGTGATGACAGTCATCGCCTAACATCAAGAGCAATAATCCAGCATCAATAGTCTATTAGGTGTCCACCATGTCTCCTTCCAAACTAATAGTTGGATATGTTGCTACAAACTGAATTATACCTTAGCACTTAGAAATTATAAACTATCTTTTTTGTAGTATTTGGTAACACCACTTTTTTCTTTCTTGGAAAATCAAAAGAGGTGGATTTTTATAGCCTTTGGAAATTTATGATTTCATGTTTGAGTCAATAAAGAAAATAAAAGCAATGTATTTTGTGAATCTTACAATTCTCCTATTTCCTCCTGTAAAGTTGCTGCATCATTCCATTCTCCAACTTCAGGTCAAAGAATGGCTTAGCCTTATGAGAAAGTACTTTTTATCATGTATTTTAAAGAGGCATGAGTGCTTTCAAGAATGGACCTTCTTCACAGTGCATTCTGATGAAAGAGACGGAGCTCTAGACATTGATGTGGCCCTAACATAGACGTGGCCAGCTTCTCTGGAAGCCACAGTCTTTCCCCCAAACATCCTCCACTTTTCTCTTTATTTGTCTCAATGACAACCATAAGGCGTTGTAGGGCAAAGAAAAAAGTCTATATATAGGTACTTAAGGGAAATGTCTAATAGTAAATGGGAGAATTATTTAAATTTGGGAAGTTTTGTGTTTTACTTTATGCAAATGCAAGAGCCAGGAATCTTAAGCACTTGTAACAAATCTCCAGAAGCTTAATTAAGACATTTAGCCAAGTCAACCTCTCACTGTGACAGAAACAGAGTATTATAAAGGATATATTTAAAAAAAATTAACCAAACTTGTCCTGAGTTGGAAACATTATAGATAAGGATATAGTTAAAAAATAACTAAATCCATAAATGTTTCTACACTATGGCCAAAGCAGCAGGCTTTAGATATAGGTTGAAGAAAAAATGTTATATACCAAATTAAGTCAAGGATACCCTCAACCCTCACCTCCAAAAGGGACAATTATAAATCATGAAACTCAATTTGTATTTTTGCTTTAGAATTAACTAATTTCAATTCCAAACATTT